GAGAGAGAGAGAGCGCGTGCGCACAAGGCGGGGCAGGGCTAGGGAAGGGGCAAAGGGAGAGGAAGAAGCAGACTCCCACAGAGCAGGGAGCCCGATGTGGGGCTCGATCCCAGGACCTTGAGATCATGACCTGAGCCAAAGGCAGACTCTTAACTGACTGAGCCACCCAGGCACCCCCTCTAAAGTTTATTATATATTATTTTCCTATTCTTTTAGTGGCTATGCCAGCCTAGAGACTATTTTCCTACTTTTTTAGTCATTACCCTGATTACAACATGTATCTTTGATTTTTAAAATTTATTTATTTATTTTAAAAATATTTTATTTATTTATTTGAGAGAGACAGAGCACGTGCACATGAGGTGAGGGGAAGGGCAGAGGGAGAAGCAGACTCCCCACTGAGTGGGGGGCTCTATGCAGGGCTCTCTCTATCCCAGGACCCTGGGATCAGACCTGAGCCAAAGGCAGACACTTAACCGACTGAGCCACCCAGGTATCCCTATTTTACTTTATTCTTTTTAAAAAACCTTTATTTATTTTTAGAGAGAGACAGAGAGGGTGAGTGTGGAGCGGGAGGGGGAGAGGGAGAGAGAGAATCTCAAGCACACTTCCCACTGATCGTAGAGCCTGATGTGGGGCTCTATCTCACGAACCTGAGATCATGACCTGAGTTGAAATCAAGAGTCGGACGCTTGACCAATTGAGCTACCCAGGCGCCCTATCTTTGATTTATTAATGTCTAATACAAATCAGTATTTTTACTTATTCCTGGACAATGCAAATATCTCAAGAGCACTTTTATCCTCTTCCATCTTTTGTGCGAGTGATGTCAGGTAATCTCCATATCACTATTAGAGTTTTATACATCAACTGTCATTTAGGTTAACCTGCATATCTACCCTTTCAGTGGCTCTTTATTCTTCCTGCATCTCTGTGTTCCTGTCTGGGATAATTGTTATTCTGCCTGAGGAATTCCCTCTCAGTATTTCTGTTTGTTGCAAAAGGTCTTATTTTTTTAAAATTATTTTTGGAATGAAGCATTTCATTTACTTTTTATTGAAGCATAGTTGACATACAATGTTCTCTTAGTTTCAGGTGTATAACATAGTGAGTGATTCAATAATTCTACACATTATGCTGTGCTCACCAAGAGAAGTGTAGTCACCATCTGTCACCACACAAACTTATTACAATATTATTGACTATATTCCCTATGCTGTACTTTTCATCCCTGTGAATTAATTATTTTATACATATTTATTTTGTGATGAATTTTTTCCTAGGTTATTTAGGTTGGCAGGTTTTTTCCCCCAACACTTCACTCCACTGTTTTCTGGTTTTCATTGTTTTTGTCAAGACACCAACTGTCAGTCTTTTGCTGCTTTAGAAGTAACGTATCTCATATTGAAGAAGGAAAAACAAAGCTGGAGGATTGATACTTCCTGATCTCAAAGCCACTACAAAAGTATGGTAATAAATACAGTGTGGCATTAGCATCAAGATAGATCAGTGAAATATAATTGAGAGTGTACAAATAAACTCATCTATTATGCTTAACTGATTTTCAACAAGGGTGCCAGGACCATTCAATGGGGGAAAGAATAACCTCTTCAACAAATGGTACTGGGACAAATGGATATCTACATGCAGAAGGATGAAATTGGACCCTTATCTCACACTGATACACAAATATTAACTCAAAATGGATCAAAGACCTAAATATAAGAGCTAAAACTACAAAACCCTTGGAAGTTTTTGTGACCTTGAGTTAGGCAACTGTTTCTTAGATATGACACCTAAAAGCATAAGCTGCCAAAGAAGACAGACAAATTGCACTCCATCAAAATTAAAAACTTGTGCTTTGAAATACACTGTCGAGAAAGTAAACAGATAACTTATAAAATGGTAGAAAATGTCTGCAAATCATATATCTGATAAGGGCCAAGTATCTGGAATATATAAAGAATTCTTATAACTCTACAACAAGAAGACAAACAATTAAATTGCTAATTAAAAAATAGACAAAGAACTTGAATAGATATTTTTTTAAAGAAGGCATATAAGTGGTCAGCAAGTACATGTAAGGTACTCATAATCATTAGTCATTAGGGAAATGCAAATTAAAACCACAATGAGGTACCATTTCACATTCACTAAAAATGGCTATATTTTTAAAAAATTATTATTATTGTTATTTATTTTTTTAAGGATTTTATTTATTTATTTGACAGAGACAGAGATAGTGAGAGCAGGAACACAAGCAGGGGGAGTGGGAGAGGGAGAAGCAGGCTTCCCGAGGAGCAGGGAGCCCAATGAGGAGCTTGATCCCAGGACTCTGGGATCATGACCTGAGCTGAAGGCAGACGCTTAACGACTGAGCCACCCAGGTGCCCCTAAAACATTTTTTTTTAAGTAGGCTCCACATCCAGCATGGACTTGAACTTACAACCCTGAGATCAAGACGAGAGATGAGAACAAGAGATGGACGCTTAACCGACTGAGCCACCCAGGCACCCCAAAAGACAGTATTGTTAAGATGCACTACTACCTAAAATGATCTGCAGATTCAGCATAATCCCTATCAAAATGCCAGCTGGCATTTTTGCATAGACTGAAAAACTGATCTTAAAATTTATATGGAAACGCAATGGACCCTGGATAGCCAGAACAATCCTGAAAAAGAACAAAGTTGGGAGGAGTCACACTTCCCAATTTTAAAACTTTCTACAAAGCAACAGTAATCAATATCATGTGATACTGGCACAAGGACAGAAAGGGAGGCCAGTGGAACAGAATTGAGAGTCCAGAAGTAAACTCATATATTATGTGTAACTGAGTTTTGACAAGAGTACCAAGACCACTCAATGGGGGGAAAGAATAATCTGTCCAACGAATGGTACTGGGACAAATGCAAAGAATGAAGGTGGATCCCTACCTCACACCATATACATATATTAACTCAAAATGGGTCAAAGACCCAAATATATGAACTAAATGATAAAACTGTTGGAAGGTTTTGTCACCTTGAATTAGGCAATGGTTTCTCAGATATGATCCCTAAAACACAAACCAAAGGAAAAAAACAGATAAACTGGGCTCCATCAAAATTAAAAACTTGTATTTTGAAAGATACTATCAAGAAAGTGAACAACTTAAAGAATAGGATAAAATATTTGTAAATCATATATATAAGGGCCTAGTAATCTAGAATATATAAAGAACGCTTACAACTCAACAACAAAAAGACCACCTAATTTAAAAAAATGGTCAAAGGACTCAAATAGACTTTTCTCTAAAGACATTCAAGGGGCCAACAAACACATGAAAAGCTGCCCAACATCATTAGTCATTAGGGAAATGCAAATCAAAACCATAACGAGATGGTTTTAAAAAGGAAAAAAGTGCTAGTGAGGATGTGGAGAAACTGGAACCTTTGTACACGGCTGGTGGGAACGTGAAACTGCAGTTGCTTTGGAGAACACTTTGGCCGTTTTCCAACAAGTCAGAGCTACCACATGACCCAGCAATTCCACTCCTAGGGACAGACCCGAGAGAATGGAAAAGACAACTTTCACAGAAACTTGTCCACCGATGTTCACAGCAGCATAAGTCATGATAGCCAAGAGGTGGAAACAACAAATGTCCATCACTGGATGAGTGGACGAACAAAATGTGGTATGCGTCCATATGATGGAATATTACTCAGCCACAAAAAAGAATGAGCGTGATTCATGCTACAACATGGGAGAACTTGAAGACGTTCTCCTCCGTGAAAGGAGCCAGACGCAAAGGGCTACATACTGTATGATTCCATTTCTATGAAATGTCCAGAAATGGGTAGATCCAGAGAGACAGAGAGCAGATCTGTGCTTTCCAGGCTGGCAGGGGGATGGGAGGGGTGAGAAGTTAACTGTTCATGGGTACAGGGCTTCTTTTGGGGGTGATGCAAATGTTTTGGAATTAGGCAGTTGTGATGGTGTACGACCTCGTGAATATCCTAAAAACCACTGAAATGGCTTATCCTTCACAAGGGTAAATTTTTATGGTATGTGAATTATATTCAATCGAAAAGATAAAAATCTTCAACCCCCTACTGATTGGAGAATGACTGCGGCAGTGAACCCATTACCAGTGGGAGTAAGTTCTCATCTCTCAGGGTTGCTGAAGTAAAAGGTGGAGAATTCATTGCTCAAAATGTTCACACATACGGATGATCCTTCAAGCATAGAATTCAATAGAACATAAAATATTTCAACATTTTCCTCCTCAATACAGCAAAAAACACCTCATTTACACTTGTCAAATTGTTCTGTTTCAGCTTTTTAGAATTTGCTGTTTTTTAAAACCAGGTGGAAACCCATCTCGGACAGATGTAATTTATTACTAATCAGGGTGTATTCTGGGAAATTTCCCTTAGACTCATTCTTTCATCCCACCAATATTTATTGAGCACTTACTATGTGCAAACCACTCTACCCGGCACGGGGGACGCAGTGGTGAGCCACATGACTTAAATGTCCCTGCTGCCATGGGGCTGATGAAGGAGCAAGAGATTCTCAGAGAGGATGCTGACCCTGAAGAAAGTGAGACGGAGGAACCCCAACGAGGGTCCGGGCATGCGTCACCGCGCAGGATGTGCCCACGCTCTGGTCATACTGGGGCGCAGCAGGGGCCCGGGTGAAAATGCCAACAGCGTCACTGTTCCTCCCAGGGGGGGGGACTCATGAGTACATTCTGTCTCCGAAACAAATGCACGTGAAATCTGGGTATGGGATCTCCAGGTCGGCCTTCCGGACACAAGTGGGTCAAGAATACTCGACGACATGGTCTTTTTATTTTATTATTTATTTATTTTAATACAAAGCTTTGGCATTAGCAATTTTATGAAAAAATAAAATGTACTAAAAATAAACGCTTGTGTGGCATGATTGGTAAATGATGCACAAAAATAGGTTCTTTTTTCCTTCAAGGCAATCAGTCAGAAAGCAGTTTTTTTTTTCTTCTTCAAAACCACTCTACCCTGTGGAATGAAAGGAAAAAAAAAAGACAGAGGTCAAGAATTAGTTAAAGGGGAGTTGCCAGTATTTTAAAATAACAAGAGAAAGTGATCCTCACTCCAGGGTGGCCTGGGGCCTGTCCCCAACTACTTCCTAGCCCCAATGGGTAAAGCTAGTCAGCCCCTGGCATTCTCCTGAACTCAGCAGCTTCACGTCTGTGGTCAAGTGGCTCAGTCACCTTACAGGTGTGTGTGTCCTCCCAAAAGGACTGCAGGGAAAAGCCCAGGCTAACAGCATCTTGTTTAATAATGTAGGGACAATTATCATACAATTTACAACTTTTCCTGGTTTGAATGTATGTTCTCAGGGCTGCGTGTCCTGAAATCTACATCTGTATCTTTGCAATAGGATCCCCCTTTATGCCTCAAACAAGAATGTCAGTCTTTACTGTGGAATGAACTTTGCAGAGTACAGACTTCCAGGGGGTGCGGCTCTCTCACTGGACTCGCCCAGACTGCGTGCGTGCACGTCCCTCAATCAGGAGCCTGACGGAGCCTGGGGTCTTAGGCTAACACTGCCCCCACCCCCAGCCTGGCTCTATGGGACTGCCCTAGCTCCCCGAAGCCTTGCACAGCTGGTTCACTTCCTTGGTTCCCAATTCATGTCTGTAGTGGTGCTTTCTCTTCTCTCTGCTCACTTCCAGATCCACGTTCCTGACTGCTTCATCTCTGGTCATCGCACAACTCTCCAGCACCTCTTGATTTCCTCTCTTCCCCCTGACTTCCTCCTTCAGCTCCACATTTCCACCTAACCCATCTTCCTGCCTCAGGTCTCTACCGGCCAGAGCAACTTCTCAGCCACAGGAATCCTCTTTTTTGCTGAAAAGCCTTACACACTACCGGCTGTTTGCAAGAACCCAGTCCAAATTCTGCAGTTGGCCTACCGACAACCACCGCTTCCGGCCGACACATCAAACCCAGAACTCCCTGAACCTGCTCTGCCTTTTCCTCTTTGTGTCCTACTTATGCCCGGCCTGGTTCCTGAGTCACCCCCTCCAGGAAGCCTCTGTTGACCCCCCCGGGACTAGAGCAGCAGCGCCACGGCGTCTGTGAGCCGGTGCTCGGTCCACAGGCTCTCCTGTTCCTTCGGCGGGCGCCGTGAGCCTGAGCCCTGTGCACGGCCGCCCCTTCCCCACAGCACCCTGCAGGGCGAGGCCTGGCGCCTGGGGGGCTGCTGGGGACACTGAATGAATGAGAGGCCTGGCAGGAAGGCCATTCACAACTTCACACAGAGCTCTGGACCAGGCTGTTCCTTCAGTCCTGCTAAAGATAATGCACTGATTTTATAAAACTTCCTCAGAGAAATCAGATATTAGAGGTCAGAACTTCCAATGGGTGCATCGAGATTTTTACACTTAACTTTATTTGGCTGCTCTTCTAAGGAACTATAAACTAAGGCAGCCACAAGATTAAAGGTACTTGTGAACACCATAAAGACCATGACGGAGACAGGGCAGAAATCCCATCAAAGGTCCCCATTGCCTTTAATCTTCTTTGTGTCATCACGTTTTCAGAAAGCCAACTGTCTTCTTCCACCATGTGATGTGGAACCCTTAAATGTCTCTCTGGAGTAGTCACAGACAAGCACTGTAAAGAGGTGGACCCAGAGATACGGGCTTGAACACCATGCCCCTCTTCCTATGGCATTTCTCAGGGAGTCCCCCAACCCCTCTGGGCCCCGGGTTATTTTGTGTATGTATCTTATGCTCAGAGTGGCTAAAAGGAGAAGTCAATACTAACAGAAGGAGGAGGATTCATGATTAAACCGGGGGCAAGTTCAAAGCTTCGCTGGCATTGCTACAAGGAAGGCTGCCTCGGAAAAATAACAATCCACGATGGGTGCTGGAGGAAGCCAGAGGTACTCGGTTGAGAACCAGAAATTCAGAATGTTTTAGATCTGCGTTTCTCAAACCGCAGGCTGCCGCCTATTACTGAACCGTGAGAGCAACATGGAGTTCCCGACCAGCCTTAACAACAAGGTGCAGAGAAGAGATCAGCGAATACTGCACATGCTGAGGAAAATATCTGTGAAGCCTGTTTCAGTTACACACGTGTGGATATGTGTCCCAATGTACAATGCAGATCTTACAGTGGCAGGCAGTTAAAAAAAAAAAAGCTTAAAAATCACTGGTTTTGATACTTAAGGTTCTAAAAGAGGCAGCCAGCTGCCAGGGCACGCAACGCCTCCCGTCCTAGGAAAGGACCATTTAGGACAGACACCCAAAGAGGGGCTCTCAGAACTCAAAGGAGCCTCCGACCTCCACCAGCCGCAGGGTCTGCCTCTGAACAGCACCAGCCTCGTGGCTCGTTTCTGTCTGCATAAGCAGGTCCTGGCAACTCACTAGCTTTCAAGGCATCCCATGTCATGGGTGGACACTGCCGACCGGCACAAAGGTCTTCTTGGTCTTCGGTGGTGCTCTACCTCCCTGTGGAAGCCTGCAGAGCTCCCGAACTACACAGTAAGACCACCCTCTGTACGCACTGGCTAGTCCCCACGGGACTCTGATGAGTGTCACACGGGGCCGCACCCAGGAGTGGATTAAGTTGTTGGGAGGCGCTCAGTGAACAGCAGCTGTTCTCATCATCTCTGGGAGCCCTTCAGATACTTGGAGACATCGCTCACATCACCCCCAACTCCTCTCTTCTAAGCCAAGCATCCCCAAGACATCAAAATGGTGATGTTTTCAGATCCTTTTATACTGAAATATGTCAATGTTCCTCTTAAGAGTGTGAGGAGAATGGGGCGCCTGGGGGGGCTCAGCTGGTTGGCATCGACTCTTGGTTTTGGCTCAGGTCATGATCTCAGGGTCGTGAGATCGAGCCCTGCGTTGGGGTGTCTGTTTGAAATTCTCTCTCTCCCCCTCCCTGCTCGCTCTCATGCTCTCTCCAAAATAAATAAACCTTAAAAAAAAAAAAAAAAAGAGTGTGAGCAGAACAATTCAGAAATACTGAAAAGAGAGTAAAATAGAAACATTCCTTTGATGGGGCTTGTAAGTTTCTATCACTGGGCTCAAGCTCCCCAGGCATACTGGTGGGGACGACTCTGACCTGGGGCAGAGTTAGGGTTTCCTGGCCTCGGGTTATGCTACAGGATTTTACATTTGTTCCAGTTATTGTGCATGAACCGTGTCAGGTTCACTTCCTCCTGCTGAGACGGTTTTGGATCCTGAATGTCTGGGTTATACTCCTGGGCAGATCCTCGGGCACGAGTTCTAGGAATCAGAACCTAGGAACCGAGAAAGGACACGGTGGAGGATACCTAACCCAACTTCCCATTCAGCTCAAAATCCGCCTACATCACCTTCCTTGTCTCACTACTTGTGCCTCAAATAAAAACAACAATGAAAACATTTACTTATGTTGAGGGAAAAACGGACTGATACAAACGTAAGCT